GTGACGCCAGATGCTGGTTTCCGGGGCCAAGCTATTCATGCGAGCGATGTTGCGCATGGCTTTTTCCTGCAGTCTCAATGAGAGCGGCCATTCTTCTGCCGACACAAGTGTCGCGATGTTCTCGGCCGAAGGGGGGAGTCCCAAGTAGGAACGAAGGACAATGCGATGAAATGCCTCTATGGCTCGAACTTGGGCTCTTCCGATGGCTAGGAGAGGAAGCGCGTACATAAGCCGGGACATTATAAGGCCCTTGTAGAGCTGAAGGAGAGCATGTTGCGATGCCCCCCAAGAGCATCCTCCTAGCTGTCGTATGACAGAAAGTAGTCGACGGCAACGGTTTAATGTTTTTTGAACTTCTGGCCGCCAAGTCACGCGGTCGTCAACGATGACTCTAAGATAGATGTGAGTTTTGACTCTCTTCACAGGTATTCCAGTAATCTTCAACTGCAGGGCGTTCTGGGGTGCTCGGCCTGTCGGTCGGTAAAGGAGTAAATCGGTCTTTTCCGCCGACAAAGTGAGGCCCAATTTAGCTATCATTAATGCCGTGGCGTCTAGGGCCACTTGGAGCCGATTGCGAATTCGGATTGCGTTCTTTGAGGGTCCGATACACCAGATGGCAACATCATCTGCGTATATCGCCGTTTTGATTCGGAGTGCGGAGTGGTCAGCCGGGAGGCAATCGGGGAGAGCAGCCATCGCAATGTTAAAAAGTACCGGACTTAACACGCTGCTTTGTGGAACCCCTCGGTTCACTAGGCGAGGTGTGCTGACAGCACCAGGCACTTTGACATGGATTGATCTTCCAACAAGGAATGCCCGAATGAAAGAAAGAATCCTTCCACATATCCCGAGTTGTAGCCGCTGAATGATAATCAGGTCAGGTAGGCTGTCGAAAGCTCGACTGATGTCTAGAAAGACACAGTCTACAATTTTTTTTTTTTTTTGTAGCTTTGGCCTCCTCGAGGGTTGAGGCGAGGTCTCCGATCACGTCTGCGGTGCACCTTTTTGCTCTAAAACCGGCCATTTCAGAAGGAAATGCATTTGTTTGATTTAACAGCCATGTAAGGCGTCCAAGAACCATTCTTTCGAGGACTTTACCCATACAGCTTGTTAATGAAACAGGTCTGTAAGACGAAGGCTGTGCAACCGGCTTTCCTTGTTTAAGTATTGGAATTATAGTGGCTTCCTTCCACACATTCGGAAAGATGCCGGTTCTCCAGATGATGTCAAACTTTTCAAGAATGTCTGCGTGGTAGACAGGGTCCACATTTCTGAATGCTTGGTAGGTTATACCATCTGGTCCCGGAGCACTTTTTTTTTTCTTTTTTTTTTTTACATCGGCCCACCGTTTCCGTGAGCTCTGTCAGGGTGAAATCGGAATAGTTCGCCAGCATCACCTCTCTGTCTGGAGAAGGGTTGACTGGTGTATCTGTAATTTCTCTGAGTTGTTCGGGGAGTGGTAGTGGGGCTGCTTGTTGTCAAGAAAATTCATCTGCTAAGACCTCTGCTATCTCTTTAAGGGGTCTACCGGTATCAATTGCAAGACTGACAATGGGATGCCGTGGGACCTTAGCCCCGGCGAGAGCTCGGGCAAGTCTCCAAAGCGCGCTTGCAACCACCTGGGCTGCCAAGGGATGTACAATCTTGTCTCCACTGCCATCGCTGCAATTGCCCCTTTTTTTGTTCGGCGGCGAAGATATTTTGCGGGTGGGTGTGAGCCATTAAGCGCCGTTCACACTCTTGCGACCGAGTAAGACCGAGAAAGACCAGACCGGTTTTTAAGCCTTTTGCGACTTCTTAGGACCGGGGTGCTATGTTGCGCTTTTTGGACTCCCAGGAGACTAGGGAGAAGGAAGTGACGTCAACAACGCAGCAAATGCAGATTGGATGTTGATTTCGTTTTCTTCTGTCAAAATCCAATCTGCGTTTGCTCTAGTCGTTGACGTCACTTCCCTCTTCCAAGTCTCCTAGAAGTGCAAAAAGCGCAACATAGCACCCCTGGGGGGCTACGTTGCGCTTTTTGCACTCCCAGGAGACTAGGGAGAAGGAAGTGACGTCAACAACGCAGCAAATGCAGATTGGATGTTGACTTTGTTTTCTTCTGTCAAAATCCAATCTGCGTTTGCTCTAGTCGTTGACGTCACTTCCCTCTTCCAAGTCTCCTAGAAGTGCAAAAAGCGCAACATAGCACCCCTGGGGGGCTACGTTGCGCTTTTTGCACTCCCAGGAGACTAGGGAGAAGGAAGTGACGTCAACAACGCAGCAAATGCAGATTGGATGTTGACTTTGTTTTCTTCTGTCAAAATCCAATCTGCGTTTGCTCTAGTCGTTGACGTCACTTCCCTCTTCCAAGTCTCCTGTGAGTGCAAAAAGCGCAACATAGCACCCCTGGTCCTAAGAGATCGCAAGAGTCTTAAAAACCGGTCTGGTCTCTCTCGGTCGTATTCGGTTGCAAGAGTGCGAACGGGCCTTTAGTTTTCACTCGCCAGAGCGCGTCATTGGAAGGATGTTCCGTTCTTTGTTGGCGTTTTGGGTCACGAAATAGGGGATGAAAGATTTCACGCCTCAAGCGGTCCTTGCGTGAGTCCTGAAGTTGCCAAATGCAGGCAGACAAAAGCTACCGAAAGCAGCAAAGGGTCGATCGATACTGTCTTACCACTTCTTTCTGTTCGAAGTAGGAGAGGTGATTTGATTTGGCGATTTTAAATATTCTGCAGAGATGCATTTAAAACGTTTACATATTTTAAATGCGGAAGAAACATACGTGAGTTCGTCGATTTTTTTTTTTTTTTAATTTCGACATTCGCTTTGCATATCAACTTGTGGAGGCTGATTTCTACCGTAATAAAACAAACATTGCGAAGATTTCTTCAGTGGAACTAAAAACAGAATAAGCTTTTTTGGTAGTAGCACGTCACACGTTTCTATTTGGAAGTTGTGAAAGTCTCGCGCTGAAGATTCTTCGTTTGACCCGAACCAAAACATTCTTGATTCAGTATTTTATGAAATAGAGGCGAATGTATTAGACAAGAACCTGCACACCTTTTATTATGGTGTTCGTCGATTTCGCGTCTTGGCTGCGATGAGCCCTTGGTCGGCTGTCACTATTTGGCGGCCAAGAAAATCTCACTGGAGAAAAGGCGGCGTTGAAAAGCTCACCGGAGCGAAGCTCGCCGGTTAAATGTTCACCACAAAAACCGACAAATGCGGAGCAAAGCTCATTTACGAAATAATTTATTCAACATTTAAAATTTAATTTAATATTCTCAGCATTATTCGCACCGCGGTGTTTATATTTAAAACTCACGTCCACACTTTGCTCACCGCTCATTCTGCGCTTTTTGCGTGTTTGTATAGTTGTAAAACCAGGGGTTCTTGTTCAGTCTCAGAAAAATAGCTTACTTTCTATGAAAAATGGGGAAGAGGCAGACGAATCCACAGTTTTGCAGAATTCGAACAATTAAAGAAATGGGGAAAAAATTTTTTTGGGGCTATTATTTACATGGTGACAGGACATAGCCTTAAAGTTGAGTACTGCGAACAGCAACAATTGTGGACCTCCGTCTCGGCACCCGACGGCCCCTGACCTCCCAAAAAGTATCAAGTCCGTCTTAGGCCACATCACCGAAAGAGGTCATTGTTTATTACGAAGCAAAAGAAAAAAAAAAAACAAAAAAACAACCACATCTTTACGTGGTGAATGATGTTGATTGGGGTGAAGCTAGGGTGGTGCTTGTCTGCGTAGACGCTGAGCCGCAGCATGCCGAGCCTTTCGTTCGTTTTCATCCATGTTACGCTGCGGTCAAATGTTCAAATGCGTATATAACCACGTTCCATACCACAGATTCTCTTTCTGACTCGGATGAAAACGAACGAAAGGCTCGGCATGTTGCGGCTCACCGTCTACGCAGACAAGTACCACCAGAGCTTCGCCCCAATCAAAATAATTCACCACGTAAAGATGCGTTTCTTTTTTTTTTTTTTTTGCCCTACACGAGCACGGGTGCACGGGCTCACGTGCTCGTGAGCAGACGGCGGACGGACATACGGACATGGCTAGCCCTAAGGAGCTTCGCCCCTAAAACGGAACATAATATTGCCGCGTGCGCAGCTGGCCAGGTAGGCAGCGTGCCCGTGGCCTAACGGTTACCGTGCTTATCTTCGACGCAAATGGCCGCTAACGGATACACTTTTTTATTGTTTATGTAATGTCGCGTTCTGGTAAGTTCTAAAACCCTGTTGCTTATTCGAGGTTAGCTGAGGCTACCGCCGAACCTTCTACTGCGGCTCCGCGTGACTGCGGCTCCGCGTGGCGAGCCGCAGTCAGTCTCGATCCTGCTGTTTCACCGACATCGACGCCTGCGACGCTGACCTTCCATTTTGTTCACCCGATTAAACGTTTTGTTTTTAAAGTTATTCACCGCCCCATCAGTTGTCATTCGTGACAATGTATTAATCCTTTGGATGCAAAGAAAAAACACTATTTACAAAAACGAGAAATGATCTGGCCAGAAACCATGATGTTCCATAAAACGGCGTTCTACTAAACGGTTTCGGCGTTCTACTAAACGGTGCGAAACGGCGCCGTGTTGTCTGCGGACCGGTGGCTTCGCTGCGTTTCCATAGGAGCTAAGCCTTTTTCTTTCTTTACTTTTTCCTCAGGTAAATTCGCCTTTGCAAATTTTACAAAAAAAAAAAAAAAGCACCATCTGTGGGCAACTCTGCACAAAGTCGTAGCGCGATAGGTTAGAAACCGAACTTTCCGGTCGATTTAAAGAGCCTGGCGTCTCCTTGTATCACCCTGTAGTTCCCAGAGTGCAACACGTGCCGTATTGCATGCAGGGCTTTATGGAAATAGTCTATTGATTTTCTGGCATTTTGACAGTACAACATATATATAGTTCTGCTTCCCATATATTTAGAAATCAGGGTGACCGTACTGAAATAAAACAAAATCCGGTGCTCTGGAAAAAAAAAAAAAAAAAAAGAAACGGGGACTCTAATGGCTGTTGACTGCATCGCGAAATGGTTAATTTCGTATATTTTTCTCACAAGGAGATCAGACACTTTTTAGGCAGTGGGGGCAGGGGCACGGCTGGCGGACAAGGGTCCAACAGTTGCCGTCCCAGGTTGTGGAGAGCCGCGCAGGCCGTGATGATGCCTGCAGATCGCTCGGGCTTGTGCTAAAGCCTCATGTCGAGGCATGGAAAGCGCCGCTTCCAAACCCCGAATGCCCTCTCGATGCTGTTTCGAGTTTTGATATGGGCCTTGTTGTACCTGCATAGGAAATTTCGTTTTGTGTATAGGCAAGTTCCCCAACTTGGTGAAAAGAGTCTTGTATTCTCAGGTTCCTTTTGTGTTGTGATAAAACAGACGAAACTTGGCCATACATAAAAGTGCAAATGCCAAATTGAGCTTAAAGATGCAATGTTTATGACGCGTGTAGCATGTGTTCCCTTTTTGTCCCGTTATGCCTTCCTCGCCTTATTACTCTTGCTTGTCAGTGCATAGTCGCAGATTTTAACTTCTGGAATGCTGCTTATGGTTCATCACTTGGGTTAGCTCGTCGAAATAAAAGTTCAGATTGTGTATAAGAATTACCATGTAAGAATTTACCACGATAGGAATTAACATCTTGAAAAACGAAGACAACGGAAGGAACACACACACACAACAGGACAAGTGCTGTACTGGCAACTCATGTGTTCCTTCCAGTTGTCTTCCTTTCCTGTGCGGTTAATTCCCATCACATTCTATTTTTAGAAGCTTGCAGAAGCTTTTAGCTGGAGTCGAGAGTGGAATGAAGCAAAGTATAGCCTGCTTATGCATGATTGAGGAGAGCATGTAGGAATCACGACATTGGACTCCCGATCTACATACTCACAAGCGCATCGTCACCTCCGTCATCAGCTTTGTGTGACAATGCCAGCTTATAAGCACTAAAACTGTATACGCATAAATAAGCTGTGCAATCCTGACACCTATTTTACTGCTGGGGTATAGCGCGAACAGCTTACCTGTCATGAGGGCTGCCTGCCTTGCCTGGATCTGCAAAGGGGCTCATCAAATACGGCGTGCAGGCATAGCCCATGTCCCTAAGGAGCACCCCGGTCATCACTGCTTCCTCGTAGAGGACCTTGGCTCGAGAGTTGTCGAAAATCCTACTGTCATGGACGGAGCCAGGCCAGCTTGCGACGACGTCGAAGAACTGGAGCTCGGGTCCTGTGATGGCCTGTAGATGCATTTACACATTGGGAATAAATGTGGAGTTCATTTTTTCCTTGAAATGAGTCACATCTTGACACCGAAGGTTGGAACTCTCTTCTTACCTAATGGCGAATTCCACTGGTCGTTTTGGAGCGCGCCGGGATCGACTTTTCTGGAGCGAGCCTATTTCACTGGACGATCGGGATTGAGACCGACATGTTTCACTGGTCGTTTTGGATTAGCTCCCGCTCCAGATCTCGATCTGGATCCGATGGCGAATTCCACTGGGTGTTTTGGAGCGCGCCGGGATCAGTTCACCAGATCCGGAATGGAGCTCACAATCCGAACGGGGTCGCACCGGCGATGGATCCCCCTTGGAACATGACCACTGCTCCGGGATCGGCATTTGCCTTCATGTCATTCAACTGCCGAGGAATCCCCTTTCCGCGGCCGCCGCGGTCGTTTCGAACACGTTTTCGCAATCACGGCGCTAACACGTGTTCGACGCACGAGGGGCAGGAATGGCTCAGGAGCTTCTAGCAAAGAGTGCCGGAATGCCCGTAGCGCGGCCCCAAAACCTTCTCTTCTCCTTCCTAAAAAACGAACCGGCTGTCGAGCCAAGGGGTAAAGACCCTGTCACACTGAGGGGACAGATGGACAACTCTATCCGGCAACACGGGGAAGTCGTGTTGCCGGCGACCCTGTCACATCGCGGCAACAACAGTCGGGCAACATATTGCTGCCGCCCGGCAACAGTGTTGCCCGATTTGTTATCCGACAACGCTGTCACACCGCACTGACGGCGAGGACAATACGGGGAACACTCCGCCATCTTGATTGTTTACCTTCGTTCGTGTGCGGCGCGGAATCGCTGGAAATGTGACTCTACAAAGTGCTAGTGCGTTCGAAGGGCCGGGAATTACCACGGTACGACATCAACCAGTGGCTGTAATTAGAAAACTTGACACGGGGAGTATTTTCCGCTCTTTATTTTACCGAGATGTTCATCATTCGTTGACAAAGCAGATAGCCCTAACCGAGGAAAGTGACATCGCTGATATATGTTCGGCATTTATGCCACCGTATGAAGTGTTTCTGTCCGGTTCTTTCATGCAATTCCTATTTCTACTGTGAAATTGCGTTAGCACCGGCAGTACCCCAAACCGTCTTTTGTAACGTGGTGTTGAGCTGAACTGACAGTGCTTCAAAACTGCGACACCGACACCATCGGCCTTTATAAGAATCGGTGGAATAAATATTTTTCAACGCTGTCTACTTGCCTACCGCCTGCTATGTGATGATTCATTGCCCCAAAACGTCCTGGGTATTTTTGAAACAAATCAGGTGTCTGGTAGCGGCTGGTTCCAAGTTCCAATTCGTTTTCGCAATCGCGCGCTACTACGTGTTCGACGCACGAGCGGCAGGAATGGCCCAGGAGCGTCTAGCAAAGATTGCCGGAATGCCCGTAGCGCGGCAAAACCCTTCTCTTCTCTTCTCCTTCCTGGAAAGCGAACCGGCTGTCGAGCCAAGGGGTAAGCAAGCGGCCATTACCATTTCTTCTGAGGCGAGATCAGGCGAGATGCCCGCGAGAAAGGAAGTCACGTGTGTGCGCCGAGGGCTGACCCTGCTGGCTTCCGGTTGAATCCGCCAAAATCGGGGGAGCGACTTTCTCGGATCCAGATCGAGATCTGGAGCGGGAGGTAATCCAAAACGACCAGTGGAACACGTTCGTCTCGATCCCGATCGCCCAGTGAAATAGGCTCGCTCCGGAAAAGTCGATCCAGGCACGCTCCAAAACGACCCGTGGAATTCGCCACGAGAAAAGTCGCTCCCACGATTTCGGCGGATTCAACCGGAAGCCAGCCGGGCCAGCCCTCGGCGCACACACGTGACTTCTTTTCTCGTGGGGCATCTCGCCTCAGAAGAAGAAGCACGTGGCGGGCTGGGCTCCTAGATTGTCTCGACATCAGAAGAATTCGTAATGGCCGCTTGCTTACCCATTGGCTCGACAGCCGGTTCGTTTTCCAGGAAGGAGAAGAGAAGGTATTTGCCGCGCTACGGGCATTCCGGCAATCTTTGCTAGAAGCGCCTGAGCCATTCCTGCCACTCGTGCGTCGAACACGTGTTAGCGCCGCGTAGCGAAAATTTCTTCGAAACGACCGCGGCGGCCGCGAAAAGGGGATTCCCGGGCAGTTGAATGACGGGAAGGCATCCGCCGATCCCGGAGCAGTGGTCATGTTCCACTGGGGATCCGTAGGCGGCGCGACCCCGTTCGGATCTTGTGCTCCAATCCGGATCTGGTCGACTGATCCCGGCGCGCTCCAAAACGCCCAGTGGAATTCGCCATAAATTATGGCTTGTTTAAAAATCTAAAATATTGATGCATTAAATAGAAATATTAAGCACTTTGCAGACATTTCCCCTTTCGATATGGATATGCAAAATAAACTACTCAGTGGAAGTTACTTAACAGAGGCCTGGGTGTGTTTCGTTCGCTAAAAAAATCGAGTGCTTCCCTGCGTCAACACTTCTTTCATAACAGCACATTTGAAAAGTACGATTAATAACGCGGGACATATATACGTTTCTTGCGAGCACAAAAAAATTCATATATATATATATATATATATATGAAGGGACGTTAGCGCACATCGCAAAACTTCTTGAGTCGCTCTTACCTGCACGTTGATGGAGAAGTACCCCTTCCGGTTACGGAATACTTCAGCGTCGTCGCCGCCGGGGCTCTTTATCCTCACGTGTGTGCAGTCAATGCAGCCGGTCACTCCCGGAAACTTTCCGATCTTGTAAAAAACGTGCGTTACGCTGCGGCGCCCGGTAGCATCGGGAAACTGAACCACTTTTGGGAAGAGTTCCCGTATGACCAGGTCGGTGATGTTGCCGACGCCGCGACACACAGTGGGCTGGGAGACGTTAATCAGATCGCCGATGACTGTCTGAAATGCACCTGCCCCATAAAAACGCAGTGCCACCAACAGCTGGAGCATAGGCGAGAGAGGCTTCCCACGACCGTCGGTGCTCGGACGAATGCACAAAAGGCACAACAGTTCTCGCACCGTCGTTTTGGAGAAGCGATAGCGTGCCGAGAGAGGACGCACGATAGGTGGGGGTAACCGGACAAAAGCTCACCCGTTTTTTCGCAAACCCGGACAAAAGCTCACCTCTTCTTTTTTTTTTTTTTGTTTGCTGCCCGGGCGAATTACGGGCTTGGATAACGTGTGGATGCGATGGAGATTGTAGCATTTTTAGGAGAACTGGAACCCCATCCCATGCAAAGGTGTCGACAGATAAGCCATGACAGGCAAAGAGGCAACGTTTCGGGACCAAAATTTAGGTCACCGAAACTGAGTGGAGCTTATAAGATCAAGCTTGCTTGGCTCAAGGTCTGCCGGATGCACCCTTGTGCATCGCCCAAATTACGTCATGAACCGAAATTGTTTAAACCCGAAAAATGACTGAAGAAGCCAAGTCACGCTTCGGTGAACTCGCTTTTTCATTGCGCTTTATGTCACGCTAAACGCGTACATAAAGATTCGGCTCAAGGTCTCTCCATTACTAATGCATGGGTTTTCTTCGGGTTCAAGGTAATATTTGAAGTGAATGGCTATGAAAATTAATTATTTCCGTCATTTTGCGTCGTAAAGGTGTTTGATTTTTTTAGTGTCGCAGGCATGCACCTAAGTTGTCCGCACTCGTCTTAAGACCAACATTAAATTTTCTCCTGGTGAGCTGTTGTCCGGGTCTGTGAAAAAATGGCTGAGCTTTTGCCCGGTGAGCTTCTGTCCGGTGAGCTTTTGTCCGGGATTCATAGGTGGGACCGGGTAGATTTCTCCGTTGCATAATTCGGCTGCCCTACACCAATAATCAACAACACTTTCGAAATCATCGTAATCATCGAGCTCCCGAAACGTCGCCATGTTGTAGAAAAGGAAAGGAAGCATCGAAGGTATAGCTACGTCGCTTCCTTCGTTCGTAAGGAAACGTCTAAGGAAACCTTTGAGTAAAGGAGCCAATCTAAGGTAAGGTTGATTCATGATTCGTAAGTGTGGCCACTTACGAAAGGAAAGGCGCTGATCTAAGGAAAGGAACCTTCCTGAATTCGGGGGTGAGTAGCTTTATTTTTCAAAGCACTGCTTCGCTGGAATGAAAAGTAGGCTTTGAGGGGCCGCAGTTAGGACGCAACGCCATTCTGACTTGTGGCAGATTATTTCGCAACATTTTAATTACATATGACACAACATGCTTTCGTACTGACGATATCAACAATAAATCGTATCGTGCGAAAAATCTCGGAACACGGAATACCCGAAGTAAAACCGGGCAGTGAAATAAGGCGTTCTGTAACCGCGTTTTTTTTTTTTTTTCCTAATTCGGTAAGAATGGGACAAAAAACCTCCTTTGCGATGAACTTGGAGGCCCACAGCCCTCACTGCTATCCTCTTTCTAAACTGCATTAAAAAAAAAAAAAAATTCTTGCAGCTTGCAGGGCGGGGTGACGGGATGGGTGGGTTAAGTGGCGGGCTTTCAGGGTCAAGCCGTCCGCTGATAACCGGAACAAAAAGTCAAGCTTTTTCTTTATTTTTGTTTGGAAATAGCACTATATCGTGTAAGCAGGTGAGTGGAGAGGCTTCCGCCCCAGTGCCATCTGGATTCCGGAAAAGTTCCAATCGGAGACGAAATTCTACTGAGATATCCTTTTAAACCCGCCGCCACCAGTCACATCGCCGCTTCTTTTCTCGGCGGCGTTCCAGGCGAGCTATCTGTTCTTTAGCAAGGGATTCAGAACCACACGACGCAGTGGAACTCGAGACGATAGCGGCTTCGCGGCGTTTGCGCTGCTGCGCACGTCGCCGCCTCCTTGCGCTCCCGCTCTTCCTCCGAACAAACGGCACGCAGCCGACCCATCGTGAGTCCCAAGGGCAACTGATAAGAGCGCTAGCGCAATCTCGACGTGAAGGGACACAGGACACACACGATTGATAGGTGAGACGATGACGTAGAGTGACGGTGAACTGGCTCGATTTCTGTGTCGACACGCCGCTTGTCCGCGGACAGAATAGTGGGAAAACTAACCCTTAACAACTTCGCTGTAAACAAAAAAAGAAAAAAAAAACGCGGTTGGGTGTAGTTACGTGATTTCCGGCAACTCCCTCCTCTAGATTTCTCCCTTCTTGGTCCACATCGTCCACACGCCAAGGCCATGAGCCTTTGTGCTTACCTTTCGGTTAGTTTTTTTTTTTCTTTATTAAAATATACTTGACACTAGCAAAATATTGATTGGGTTGTCTCTCGATTCTATTATATCGCCTGGCAAAAAAAAAAAAAAAGTGGTGGAAAGGGTGGGGGAGGGTACTGTCCCTTTACCCAGTCGACACAGTCAGGTGATCAGATGCAAGTGCTCGTCAATAACTTTGGAAACAAAAAAAAAAGAAAAAAGAAAGAAAACAATGTTGGATGATACCATGACATGCGACTCGGGTAGGCAGTTCCATTGATTAATGGTAAGAGGAAGGATTATTTTAAAATGTACGGCACAAGTATTCGCAAATCTTATTTTGATGATCTACCTGCATCATAAAAGAGCTTTAGACGGAATGCGAACCTACGGCACTTTAGCGACTTCCATCCAAGAGAGATTTTTCAGGAGACTCGACCTTAGAGTGCAATAGTAAATTCTGGTCACAAACCTTGCTGCCCTGTTTTCAACTCTTTAGAGGTCATCACAAAGATATTGTTTAGGGATCCCACAGTATACACAAGCATATTCAAGAATGGGCCTTATATTTGTCATATACAGGGTGTTTTTTTAAGCTTTACAGATTTGTTTAAAAAAATCTTTCAGCCTTTCTACTCTGGTGAAGAGGAAGACCAGCGAAGCTGTACTATGGTGGGACGACCTCAAGGACAACTTCTTGGACGTCTAGACAACTTCTAGGACGACCTCGAGGACAACTTCTTGGACGACCTCAAAGAAGACGTCTGGACAACTTCTAGGACGACACCTAACATTGCCTCAGGGACGACTTCTAGGACGACACCTAATATTGCCTCAGGGACGACTTCTAGGGCGACCTCGAGGATGTCTAGATTGACCTCCAGGACGTCTAGGACAACCTCAAGGATGACTTTTAGGACCTCTCAGACGACCTTGAGGTCGAACTCAGGGATGCCGCCTAGGACGACCTCAGGGACGACCTTAAGGACCACTTCTAGGACGACCTTGAGAACAATGTCTAAGACGACCTCAAGGATGACGAGGATGATTTCTAGGACGACCTCAAGCTGAACCTCTTGGTCGACCTCAAGGACAACATCTAAGACAACCTCAAGGACGACTTCTAGGACGACCTCGAGGACTTATAGGATGACACCTAGAGAAATGCAGCCTTTCCACTCTGGTGAAAACCAGAGTGGAAGGGCTGGAAAGGTTGCCACCATCAATGAGTGACGGCGGCAACCAGACAGCCGGCAAGCCGGTTGTCTGGTTACCGCCATAGCTGTCCAGAGTTTTGTGTCAACATTTATTTGGTGGTGGACACGAAGCTAGGGAAACTAGGTCGTAACAGCTCTGCTGTAAAAATGCCTGTATCAAGGGGCTTTAGGCAGATATGGAGTTCCTGCATGGTTGTTTTCTGTTTCCCGTCATTCTCAGTCACGCGAAATATGCGAGAAAATATAGGCGAGGCAAAACAAGAATGTGACAATCACGCATTTTGTGTAAACATCTTCCAGCGGCGTGGAGAGATCAAATCAATGATTTACCACATACCAGATGCGCCAGATTACAGCCGCCATTACCAGTCTTCTCTTGTTTTACTGAGATACCAAGCCGCTGAAACGGGCGTTGACGAGCCTCCACAAAGGCCAATGCTGAGGACGCAATAAAATATAAAATGAAAATGACCCGGCCTGACACGGTAATGATGAAGTGAAGTAAACGAAATAAGAGGAAACAAAAACTGAAGGTCGGTTATGGCGGCACCCATGCACAGCTACTGCAAAGCGTCTTTGTGCATTCAGCCATCTTAAAATCATAAGTTACGTGGGAAAGTCACTCCTCGTGTGTGTAGGAGCCGTGCTGGCCTACTCCGTTGACTGCGGCCGGTCAGGTGACTGAATTTGGCAAATAGTGCCGCCGTGGCGGAAAACAGAAAGGGAGGAGGAGGCAAAAGCAGAACATACGCTGGGGCGCGTGCAATGTCTACTTTCCTACACGGTGCTAAATTCTTTGCTCCTCCCGTTATCGATTTCATTGGACTGCGGCACAACGGCACGTGAAAAACAGATGCGCAACTCTGGCTCCCGTAGGAAGCCTATACAAGAACTCTAGGCAGATAGCATTCATAGCGTCACCAGTGTTAACGCCTCCATGGACAACGAAGGACCATTTCAAGACAACTCCTTTTTTGCGCCGGCTTTTGCACAAACTTTATGCTTACGATAAACACCCTGATAGAACTCCTTTCTGCCGCAGCTAATCTGCATCCAACGTTCCACCGATTCCGCAGCTACTGTCCATTGGGCGGGCTGATACAGTGGTCTGATAGCATAGCGAGCGCCACCGAGCGCACGCTTCACGAAAAGGCGCCAGGCGCTCTGGAAGCTTATCAACTGGCTTTCATAGTGTAATGTCGCTCAACACGGCCCTAGGGTCCATTCAAAATCGCTCAGCTCGTTTCATTCCATCAAACTATCATTGCACTGCTAGTGTCTCGTCGCTAAAAAATAGTTTATCTTTACCATCTTTCTCTCTCTCTGTGGTGTCAAATTTCATGTTTAAGTTTGTAACACAAAATTAATTTTTCTAATCCTATCATACGCGATCAAATGATAAATCTCCTTTCACGTTTCATCCAGTGTTGATCATCAGCATAAAGTTGGAATTACAAGCTGATTAAGAACGTCATTCATCATTTCTTCCTTGCACAGCCCAAGAATGGAATCATCTCCCCGGTTTCATTGCTATCACCACCGACTCTCATTTATTCCGAAATTCTATAACTACCCATTTTTTTTCCAATGATCCATGACCTGTTTGATTAACTGTTTGTTATATTATTACAATTCTTGATTTGTTACAGTTTTACCTTCCTTTTCTTTTGTACCTGCTTTTCCCTTCATAATGGCTACAAGCCTTGAAGGTATGTCCATTAAATAAATAAATAAATAGAAAAGTTGTAGATGTGTGAAAGGGGCCGAGGCGCTGCATCTTGTGCATAATGGTGGTCAGGGTCCTGGACCCGTTGCCACTCTCGTGCTGCTGCAGCCCCTCGTTTACAGTTTACTCTGCTCAGTGTGACAGGGGAAGGGGAAACTGAACGAACGGGGAGTGCTGCCTGGGGCCGCACCTTCGTTTGTTTTTTTGTAGATGCGCCAAACCCGAAGTAGCTGCGGTGAGACAGAGGGAGAACGACAGCACATCTAGCCATTATCAAGTGGCCGTGCGAGGGCCAATGGTGAGGAGAGACCGAGAGCCGGAAAAGGGCACTAACAGCTACCGTCAAAAAAAGCTTTAGATAAGGAACTTATGCGGACGGCCGATTTTCTCCAGCGCCAAATATTTTGACGATAATAATCCCTGGAGAAGGGGGACAAAGGACAAACACAAATCTCTAAACACTGCTAGTTGACTACTGCGCAACTGAAAAAACCTGCCTTGCCTTCCACACGAAGCACATTTTTAGCACGAAATTGGAAAGTTTTTTTAGGACAATATGGGGCTGAAGTGGGAAGGCAGACACTGAACGCAAGTGTTGGCTGGATTTCTCATCAAAAGCAAGTTTGCACATGGCAATCCGATTGATAGACCGAAATACAGCTGAAAGTATTTTATTTTCGGGACCCTTTTCTGCAAGACCGCTTCCCCGGGGGCCTTTCCTAAGGCCCTCCTTTGGCACTCCCCGAAATGGACTGTTGCCAGTTTGAAGGAGCCCACGGCCTTCCTCCTTTATTAGGACTCGAGGCGCTCCAGCAGCAGCACCAACTCGCAGTGCGGGGTGTGCGGGAACATGTCGACGGGCGCCGCCTTGACCACCACGAACGGCTGCCCCCGGTAGTTGTTGGATGCGGGCCTGGCCAGGCTGCGGTCAATGGGGCACACGTGAGGGCCTGAACACACAGCCGGTGCACACTACCCTCCACCTTCTGGCCCGACCTGCCTGCCAGACGTTTCCCCGTGGAGGCCGATGAGGCACTTCTCCACTCTTTTCAACCTCCCATCCTAAATAAGTTGATGCCCTAGTCTTCGAGCAGAAAGAGCACGAAGACTCGTGCTTTTCTTTTAGTCCTTCCGATCCCTATTCCGATACCTTTAGAATTTAATTAAACTGCTGAGATATCACATGCTTTCCTCATAAAACACTACCATCTTGTGTGGGGTACCGCGACAATTTCGCATTAAAAGGAGACTCTCCTACGGTCAGAAAATTATGCCACCTATTATTGCTGGTGCAAAAAACATAGCACGAGTGACAGAAACATTAGAACATTGTTTTGCAACGTTCTGATGAATGTTGCGGAACAATCAGTTTCTATCAGGCAGGGAAAATGCTGCCCTCCAAACTATTACTGCGGTAAAATGTACGTCTCCTCTCGTGCTCCTCGCTTAATTTCAATTCTGAATGTATTTTCGTAAAAATCTGGCGCGTGAATGTTGTTTTCCAACAAGTTTTATTTCTGTTTATTTTTAGAGGTTAATTCAAAGGTATTGAGATCTCAGAAATAGAACAGAAACAACAGCTGCATATTGCCTATGTCCTATTGGAGACTCCTGAAACTTAAAAAGCAGCTGCGCCGATCAGGCAAGATGGCATACGAAAGGAGGTCCGTTTTATTGTTCAGCACGCGAAACACCTTATATCTCTTGCACTGCAGTGTAGGTCAATGTTCAATATGAAAGCAGAGTACTTTGTGGACAGTAAAAACCTTCTAGCCGGTGTGTACGAGTGACACGGTGGCAACATAAAAAATAATTACTATGAACAATGTTTTTCTTTCTTTTTTTTTTTCTTTCTTCTTTGACTCGATCAGGGCATTTGGCCAAAGCTAGGGATATTTCGAGCCCTAATGGACCTTTTCCGAGAAGCGTTCTGCGCAAGCGCGAGCGCCCGATGCCAAGCGGTGGAAGTCGGCACGAAAAATCAAGGAAATTCGGACTGAGGCTAAAGTTCGACGAGTAGAACACGTAATTGCAGCATATATATATATAATTGTGTTACACAAAAAAAGAAAATAGACGGAAAGAAAAACACGACGTTTGGGCGGACGCTACAGATTTCCCTCTTTAAAGTCGCGTTGGGCACGCGACGCAGCTCAGAGAGCGAAGCAACTGGTGGCGTAGGTCCCATTATCAATTGGTAGCGCAGGTAGGTCACTCCCTCGATTTTTAGTTCGTGCAGCCACCGCCTGGTGCAGTCGGTATTTGGAAAAGGTCCATTAGGGACCCAACGTTTTGAGTCCTACTCAACCTCCTCAGGAGTGGCTGTGCATAAAGCCATTAAGAAGCAATATTTTTGTTTCTAAAACGAAAATACTGCTCCTCCATGGTCACAATCACCCCAGAAGAAATCGAGCAGCCTCGAAACGTTGGGCTCGGTTGGATGTCCTTCATCTTCACCATCACCATCATCATCATCATAATAATAATAATAATAATAATAATAATAATAATAATAATAATAATAATAATAATCATAATAATCTTTATTTTATGTGCCCAAAAACAACCTGGAGGTCTTCACTTTGGCGCACAAGTCAATGCTAAAATCGAAAAGAAAAAAAGCAACAGAATAAAAGCAAAGCGCTGGTCAAAGGTGTGTTAGAAGGACTTCCCATTGCTTTCGGTAAACAGATATATCACTGAACATGTCAATATTTGTATCATTAAAGCGATTATATAACAATTGTATATGTGACAGGGGCAAGGATCTACACATCGTCTTGACGTAAAAAGCAGTATGGTTCTATAGTTAATCAAGAAGGGACATGAATGTTAATCCTGGATAAAAGCATATTGTTATCTATCATCCCATTTACTACCTTATGTAGAAAAATTAAGTCACGCACGGCCCTTTTTTCGGACAATGGCCTCATGAAATGCTTTTCAACAAAACCCCCAAATTTTACCCGTCCATCTGTCCGTGCATTTCCCGTTAAATTTAGCGGGGAAACTGAATTTAGCGTTTAGGTGACGGGACGTCAATTGATGTCACATGATCTACTATATACCAATTAGGTTCCAGGGGTGGTCCAGCCAGTTTTTTAATGTGTGGAGCAATCTTTGGAGCAGAAAAAAATCTCGTTATGAAGCCCCTTTGTATCTAAAAAAAAGTTGCTTTTTGGAGCATCTTTGGATGCCCATTAAAACCCAAAGTTAGCAGTTATACTGTACTTTGGGTAATATCCTGGGTCACTGCCCACCGGAATATCCTGGGTCGCTGCTGCCGGAAATTCATAAAAAAAAAAGTGGGGTGGGCCATGTCTCGGTGGGTAAGCACAAAAAATTAAGAAAAAGCTAAAAATCACCAATTTTTTTGTACTTATCGAGCGTGGCTACACAAGAGGTAGATTAAACTCAAAACTCGAACAAGTTTCGTTGTTTCACGTAAGAAATGCTCATGAAAGAACGTTTTACTCTCACAGAGTCCGTCGTTTCAATACTAGGGGCGGAACTCATGAAATGTACTTTGGAGCAGCCACGGGAGCAGCTGAAACAGCTGTTTTGGAGCAGGTTAGGAGCAGCTAAAACCACATTTTGGAGCAGGCTAGGAGTGGCTCAGAACACTTTTCATTGCACTTTAGCTTGTGTCTTAGACAAGCACGGGAGCAATTTCAATTGTGCTTAGCAGCACAGATGAACATGAGTGGTTAGGGACCTAGGTAGATGGGAGAACAGTGTAACAGATGAGAAAACTTGAAACTTTGTGAGCCTTAATGGGAACCAGAAAGCAAGTACCATATGTTTCTGAAGATAGTGTCCCTGATATTTTCTGAGTGGCTTTCAGCTGCTCAAAATGCAAACCAGCACTGCTTATCACACAACCCACACATGCTCGACATAGTAATTATATGTGCGAACCACGTGACATGTATAAGGCATTGGACGTGCAGTTGCGTGGAGGAACAGGGCAACAAATTTCGAGTTTATCCTATTGTGAAATTCAATATTGAAGCAGCAGACTACGATTAACAAAGTTATCGTATGCTAAGCGATAAGCAGGAGCAAGGATAAAGTACGCTGAGCAGATCTACCGCTTGCGTGAGAGCTGCTGGCCGGCAAGGTTTCGGATCGGACCGCGCTTCAGTTACTGTAAACAACAAAATTTTCGCAGGTACCTATTGCCTACAATTCGTGAAAAATACGTCCCGCGAACAATTCGGGCAATATGTGAACGCTACGGAAGCCACACTCGATTCGCAAAAATTAGAACCCGCGAATAATTTCAATCTTTCTGCTTTGGCCCGATTCGTGAAAATTTGAGCCTGCGAAAATTAAGTTGTTTACAGTATATCAAATCACAATTTATCTTGAGGGAATGCAGTTCCAACTGTCAACAATGAAGTACTAAAAGGAATCTTTTGCTCATTTGTTTTCAACTGGCTGACGTCGGGATCCCGGGCCGCAGAGCCTCAGGCAATCTGACGTTTAACGACTTGACCTCACCTCGGCCGACTTGCTTAACCAGTGATGGCCGAAAATTAACAATCCAGTCGCAGGTGGTTTAGCGCTTGGAATCCAATCCCCGAGTTTTTTCGCACACTACTGACTTGGGATACACAGGGAGAATAAAGAAAACAAAGGACTGCAAGGCCGACCAAGCTAAACGCGCTCATTATTGCCAATCAAGTCGATAAAAACCGACACCAAGACCAAATACTTTTTTTTTTGGCGCATGTTTTGCGATTTGGTGCATAACGGCGCGAGGTATTGGCTGTGGCGCAGTTTCCGCAACATGGTACAGGATGGCGCAGACAAATGCGTCTGGCGCAAATGGCTCAGCCGTTCCACCCCTGGAATACGCGCAATAATCTCCACTGATTGACATTCAGCGGGAACGTTTCTTCCGTGAAAGCATATCTCTAATGCAGCTAAGTTATCTTGATTAGGAAACAAAAAAAAGAGCTAACAAGAAAATAGAAAAACCAACCAGGCGCAACGAGCGAGCCAGCAGGTGAAAGAAGCGACGAAGGTGCTTTTTTCGCCCACTTGATTTTTCGGTTCAGTATCCCTTTAATATCTTTTTATTAAATGATATGGGATTGAATCAGCGCGCGATCCTGAGTGACTATACAAGTGTCGCGAGCGATTTGCAAACCCCATAATGTCATACGATCGAAATTACATTAATTTTGTTATGTGGCTGGGGTGTAACGCAAGAATTCAGTGACTGCACGCGGTAACATAGCTTACATGATTGTGAGTGACACTTGTCTAGCCATGTGTGCGTTGACTATGTCTACCTGACTTTTACTGTGATCCGTTTCGCTGTGTCCAACGTTACTAGAACACTCAGTTGGGAAACTCGCCGTCGAAACCAGGGCCGCTGGCGTCCACCGAGACCGAGCTAAATGCGACAACAGCGCCACTCTTTATCGTTTGTCTGTACTGTGGTCACCTTGAGCTTTTTGAAAGCCCGTTTTTGCGTAAAAACAAACGGAAAAGGCTCTTTTTGTATGAAATTTATTGGAGTTTAGTACAAAAAGAGGGGTGCGTTATGTTTTTAATATCTTTAGTTTGCAGGGTTTTGCGGCACAATTAATACTGTTTTTATACAACCATGCCTCAGCGGGGCTTTCAGGTAGCGCGTCCCGATCTAGGTGAATTTTAACTTCGGTAGTTCGACGCAATGCGTCCGCCGGGGAGACGGGGGTGGCGCCCCTGTAACTTCTTCCGCTGTATCTGTTCTTAAAGCCAAAATAGAAGTCACGTGCAGTTCCTCGAGAGGCCGCTGCGGGAGAAATGGTGGCGTTGTGTTCGTCATTAGCTCGGTGCTCGGAGACAGATTGGGGCCACTTTTTCCAAGCTGTCTCTATGGGAGCTTCCCAACTGAGTGTTTTAGTAACGTTGGCTGAGTCCGATCGC